GGGGAGCCGAGCAGCGCCGCCGCCGCCACTGCCTGGATGCGGAGGAGGAGGAACCGGCGCCGCGCCGGAGTCACGCCGGAGTCGCCCTCCTCCTGCCTGCCTGCCGCCTCTTTCCTCCGGCTGGCCGCTCCGTCGGTCCGTCTCGGCGGCGAGGCTGCGCCGATCTGCGCCTTCCCCAGCCCGGGCGCGGGAGACGCGCGCCCGAGAAAGACAGAGAGAGAGGGATCGCCTCCTCCCCTCCCCTCCCCTCGTCTCTTCCCTCTCCCCCCGTCGCAACTCCTCCTCCTCCTCCTCTCATCACGTGCTTTCCCCGGAGTTTCTGCACGCCTTCCCTCTTCGCGTGCACGCGCACAGATACACACAAAACACACACCTCCTGGACACAAGCGCGCCCCGGGAGGCAATGGGAAGCGAAGGGAAAATAGGAGATCCGAGGGGGGGGCATTGCGTCTGGGCCACCCAAAAGAAGCTGTTGCCTGAGGAAGGCGATCTAAGCTCAGGGGAACCCAAGGGCCACAGGAACGCTGCCTGGCGTCCGGAAACACAACCACAACAAAGGAAGCATGCTTTTAAAAAACGGGCCATCTTTTCCAGGCACGGAAACTCCAGTGCCACAGGGGGTTGAATCCACTCCAGGTTTTCGGCTGGACCTTAGGGCCACTCCCGGAGGTGCTGAAGGTGTTTCCCATCAGTTCAGCACCTTGGAGAGCGCTTGTAAAGTGGAGAGGAAAACCCAGGCTGAACTTACTGCCTTACTGGCTGCGGAGGTACCAGTTTCTCCCATTCTCAATCTGCTGCCCAAGGCCGCACAGATCTGCCTGACAGAAGGGCTGGCCCTGGGTGCTCCGTTCCAGTAAATAGGCTTGGCTCCTTCCGGGACCCCACCCTGGCCAGCTGGCTTCAGCCCATACAGGAGGAAAAGAACTGTAACAGGAAGAAGAGTCTTAGGGTCCTTTAAAACTACCAGGTTTATGTTAATATAAGCATTTGAGGATGACGATCCACTGCTTCAAAGGCTGAATTTTCAGAATCTAGCACATGTTAAAACAAATATGTAGTCTTCAAGATTACACAAGTCTCTTCTGCTACTTTTTTGGGGGCCAACTACAAGACTATATGATTCGCCTTACCTGCGATCCTTCCAAAGTAACAGCGACCATTTAAAGAGTGTTTGTTTTGGAATGCAGCAAAAACACCTACAGAGTAACTAATCTGGGACTACAAATCCCAGATTCCCCTGGCCACACCAGTTGGGAACCTGGATCCAAAAAAGGAACTTTTCTGATCCATTTCCCCCCCTTTATTGAAAGGCTGAAAGGGCAACCTTATGCGCTAAAAAAGGAAGTTTCATAAAGTGCAATGAAGCTCACTGACCCAAGATATTGTGCCACCTGAGGACAAAAAGCACTCTCTCCACACCAAACATTCCACGCACCCAAGTTGATAACTCACGTAGGGGTTATTCAAGAGCGACTTCCCACCGCCCACCTCCATCTGCCGCCTGAGACAAGTGACTCATTCTGTGTCATCGCTGTGTAGGATTCGCACCCTTCTCTTTCCGCCCGCTCTGGCCCTCTGTTTCCAGCTGCAATTAATGACATGACTCAAAAAAATATATTCCCATTATTTCCTGGATGGTAGGCCCCCATCGCTGCATCATCTACTGTTTTTAGCTTCTAGTATTGTCTTTTAGTGATGTAAACTGCCTTGGCCCCTTTTAAAAATATTTTAAGTGAAATAATAGTTAAATGATATTTTAACCCCAAGGGTCTTGTTCAGTTGAGGCCAGAAACTTGGAAGTTTGAAAAAGATGTTGTAAAAAAATATACTGAACATCACCCAGGTAGAGACAGATGAGAAATTAATTCAGTTCTGTGCACTTTCAGACTGATAATGTGAAAGAGCTACAGCTGTCCTTCAAAATTTGCCTCTCTCCAAATTTTATCATGGCCAAAATTATATTATTATACCAAACTAAATATTTCATGTATAGAGGTAGATGGCTGGATAGACAGAGCTAAAGATATTGTTTTATATACAAAGGAAAAGCGCACACAAAATTTGGATGAAATTCCAAAATGCAAGAGACTCCAAAAACAGCTTGCAGAAAAAAAATTGTCAAAATCAGTGCAGAATTCTATATGAAAACTTCACAGAGAGAAATGTACCAAGAATGCATGTGAATTTTTATGTAAAGGTCTGAGGGGGGAAAAAACTAGAACTAAACTAACTAAAACATTTTAAGGGAGGGGGGGAAAACCCTCGAAGCTGAAGAACCAGATTGGAAGATTGTAGAAATAGGGAAAAGACCTGGAAAAGACAATAAGGCTGGGAAAAGTAGAAAGCAGCAGGAAAAGAGGAAGACCCAATACGAGACGGACTGACTCCCCTCCACAAGGAAGGTGCCACAGGCAACAAGTAGCGCCCATACGTGGCTTGCCATGCACAAGGCTCCAAGCTGAAAGGGTCCAAGTCCTAGAGGCTTGGGAAGGTCCTTCTCTGCTAAAGACTCTGTAGGGAGGGCCGTGGTCGAGAGGAGCTCAGAGATGGCATGGAGGGGGACAGAGGTCTGGTGGGAAGGGGTGGTGGCCATGGACGCTGGTGGCCCCACTGTTGGTGGGGTGGTTATAGGGCCCCAAGAGTGTTCTTTAGAAGCTCCTGCCAATTAAGAATGGTTTGACCATGGCAGGTGGAGGGGTCATCTCCGTAGAAGGTTTTTAAAAGGTGGTGTTGGGTGGTGATCTGTCTGTGGCTCTTGTGTCGTTTTTCGAGATCAGCCACGGTGTTTGGACCACGTAACCTTTCAGAACTTCCTTCTATCCCAATAATCCTGTGCTTCCATGAAAGAAAAGGCTCAACAGGGACTAGAACCCAGAACAGCTCCGTCCCAATCCTGCACCCTAAGCGACACACCGCAAAAAGGAGCCACATCCACACACAGCAAACTGCTCCTCAAATACCGAATTGTGGCTGCCACCAGGTAAAAAAACTTTTCCCCAAACCCTGCGCTGTCAAGACATCCGAGGGCGGCCCAATGCGCCCGGGGAGGTGTCCGTTCGAGACAAGTCTTGTTAAGGTAATTGGACGGTTCCCAAATTAGGAGACGGGAAATTTCACACTGTGTCAGACGCAGATTTGTCGAATCTGACGGCCCCACTCGGTGCAGCCTGATGTTTAAGGGGAGGAAATCATTCCCAGACAGCTGCGCTGAAGGATGACTCTTACCTCGCACAGTGGGGACGGGTGAGCGAAGACTGTAAGGTCTGCCATGGACGATACATAAAGCCAGTGTAGTAACATTTTGGGTGTTCGAAATAGGGACATTCTACCAGCAAACATTACAAGGAAAGCACAGAATCCTTCAAGGAAGGACAGGACTGTTCTCATTCTGCTGAGGTTGTTCACAGCAAAGACCAGCCCTGATCCCAGGTCCCGTCTCCATCTCTTTACCCCTAAGACCCCACTGCACCCCCTCCCTCGGCAACACGCCTCCCCAATCAAATATCCTGGAAAAAACATAAAATATATATAATACTATCTTCTCTTGAGAGGTTGCTCACAACATAAAAATAGATATTGCAACAGCTGCAGGACAGAGGTGGGCAGCTGTTGCAATATCTGCCCAAACTGCCAAAACTTTTTCTTGCTAAATCTACAGTCCTACACGCACGAGAATTGAGCAGAGGAACAAGCCTCACCATCAGGCTTGCATACAAGTAAAGGCAGTGCTGTAGAGTGGTTGGAGGGTTTGGCTGGAATCCGGTTCTCTTCCCTTAGAGAGCCACTGAAATCACAGAGTGGCCTCTCTCTCTCTCAATCTGCCCTACCTCATAAGGTTGTTGTGATGATAACACAGGGGCGAGAGAAAAGACAGGTACGTGGGCTTCAGCTCCCAGGAGGAAGAGGCAAAGCTAGGTTTGGACTATAAAAGCTTTCTTGCTCTATGTAGGTGACTTCTAAGTGGGCACGGTTTGTTAAAATGCAAGGAAGTGTCTCTGGTTACACAGAGAGAGAAGAAACACACAAAATACACACAACTCTCAACATTTTAACAGCCTAAGACAAGCAGCCGTCAGAAACCAGCTCCTGCCGTCTCCCTGCTGACATAATAAAACCTCATTAATGGACTTTATGGCCTGAATCACCTTCGAGTGCCTGGAGTTTGGCCAGGGGAAAAATGAGTTTGGATAAGAGCGAGGTTGTAGGATCGTCTTGACCCTTTTAAGGGCCGGAAAACACACACATGCTTGGCCTGTTCCCTAATGGGAAGAGGGAGGGAAATCATATTAAGGGTCCCTCCGGAAGCATTGGGTTCCCTGTTCTTGTCACCCGTTGTTCATCTGCTCCGAGTTTAGGCTAACCACAAAATTTTCAGTTCAGACACCTCAAAAGCCCCTGGACACAAGGTTGATCTTCTCTTGCAGGTAGAGTGCGCTAAGCGACGGAGCTCACCACCTCATTATGGCTTTCCTGATATCTCCTAATGCTGCAGCACCACACAATTCAATCCCAAGTACCGACTTAACAATTTTAAATGCCTAGACAATTTTTTAAAAAAAAAAAACAGTGACAAAACTGGACCAAAAGTTAGAGGTGTAAATCCAATTGGTAGCCCCAACTGTGGAGTTGATCCAGTGGCTCAAAGGAAATTACACCGGAGCTGACCCAGCGAATTCTCATGGATTCGACAGGTCTACTCCAGCTGAAACTGAAAACCGGAGAGAGGCCGTAATGATCAGATGCAAGGAAGCAAGTTGTTTTTACTAAAATATGTTGAATTCAAGGTTTAAAACACAGGAAAACCAATTATATCAGTAAAATACAGCTGAATTTGGAAGCATCTTAAAAACCCATCAGGAATAGGAATAGGCATCCTTCAGTCTCGAGAGATTATGGTATTGTGCCCATCAATAAGAGCATATAAAACCAATTTGTTAAAAGCCCCTTCTTCAGCAGCTGGTCTGTTATCAAGCAACTAATTCTGTCTTGTTGTTACTTACTGCAAAAGAAGGGTTCTTTGAGCATGTGCATAGGTCTTCCTGATTCTTCCACTTGTTCCCACATCTCTCTCTGTCAGCTAGCACCCAATGCGGGGGCGGTCTATCTGGATTTGTGTCCCACCAACTCACTTCTCTGTAAGAAAGACACAAGAAAGGAGTTTTCTTTAAGAAATATTTTTCTAAAAAATAAATAACCTTCCTGTTGGGGCTTCTTTGCTGGAGCTTGTTCATTTGTTTGTTTAAATACTTTTGAGTCTTATTTGAAGGCTTCTGACTGAGAAGCTCTCACCCGGACATGACTCTCCAGTTAGTAAGTACCATAGCGCTAAACTCCAGCTCCTGGAACAAAGGAAGGTAAAAAATAAACCATGCATTCGACCGGTTCCAAAAACCACAGAAAGTCACAGATTTTGTCACTTCACCAATCCAAGACACGGATTGACTATTAGGCAGATGGTGGGAAAGGGAAAACATTGAAAAACACCAGTATTCGATCAGACACATCATAGAGAACAGGTCCTCCCTCTGGATAAGACCGAAAAGAAGTTGGAATGAGAAAGCATGATTATCTTGAGGTTCTCCAGCAGCCTTCCAAGCTGACTAGAGATTCAAACCAAAAGTCTGTCTTTCTGGTTACCTAATCCACCACAATCAGTCCCTCTGTCTACCCTCACCCAGAAAAATGTGATTTTCCAGCCTGGGAGGAGTGGCTGTAATTTTGTGCAACTTTCAATTTTGCTGCTGGGACTTCATTCCATTTTTCCTTTTTTAGCCTATTTTCTCTTTGGCCGCTTCCTGGCAGCCTCAAGAGAGAGGTGCTTGGTGATTTTTATTTCCCCCGCCCCAAGAAACGACTGTTGCACGCACACACAGGGAGGCACCCGCCCTCGGATCTTGATGTTATTGATGTCTGGTGGTTTGACAGCTGCCGGGACAGACGGAGACAAAGGAAGGAGCCGCCCCACGGTTTCCGGAGGGGGGGCAGGGGGCTGGCGCAGAAGCTTCAGAGGAGATGGCCCTGCAGCCGGAAATCGCATCCCAAATACAGAGTGGGACTTTTAAAGGACAGCAATGCAACCGAGATCAAATTGCAAAGCATTACTTGGAACATGAGCTGGGTCAGGTATGCCTCAAAAGGGCCAAGGTTTAGGCACCTCTTGAGACAGACCGGGTGGTCCACAGGGAACGCAGTTGCACAAATCCAGACATCTCCTCAACCCTCTATGCATGTCCTGCCACTAAGACAACCCCGTGACCTAAGAAACTGGTGCAGAGTCAAGAGTGAACACACAGAGGTGAGCAGCAAACCTCGTTGGTGTATATCGTGGCCTGGCTGTTTGGCATGACGCTTGTCGGGCACGTCTACGGTCGCCCTGCCCTTAATCTTCCTTACACCCTTGTGAGGTAGGTCAGGATGAGAGGAGGAGGGAGAAAATGGCTGAGACGGGAGACTGCAACTCTGCAGGAATGATGCATCCACTCCGGGTTTTCATCCAAACTTTTAAAGGCCCTGCCCCAGGGGATGGACATATTTGGGGACAAGTTGGGACCAAAGGCCAGAAGGGACTTGCGTGCTCTTGTGAAGCTGGAAACACCGGCCTCAGACATTCTCCTTCAGCATGATCTACCTCGTAGAGGTGTAGGGAGGATAACGTGAGGAGCAGCAGAAACGGCCACAGATGCTGCCCTTATGAAGCAAAGTTTTACACACACACACACACAAACACTCCTCATCGGGACAAGTTGGGACCAAAGGCCAGAAGGGACTTGCGTGCTCTTGTGAAGCTGGAAACACCGGCCTCAGACATTCTCCTTCAGCATGATCTACCTCGTAGAGGTGTAGGGAGGATAACGTGAGGAGCAGCAGAAACGGCCACAGATGCTGCCCTTATGAAGCAAAGTTTTACACACACACACACACAAACACTCCTCATCGACAAGTCACTACCACTCAGCCTCCCACAGATGCTGCCCTTATGAAGCAAAGTTTTACACACGCACACACGCACACAAACACTCCTCATCAACAAGTCACTACCACTCAGGTCAGCCTCCCTCACAGGGCTGTTGTAAGGCCGGAGAAGGATAAAGCTGTAGTATCACCTCTCAAACGTCTCCAACTTGGAGAAACATCCCGAGACTCTATTTCTTTGAAGACACTACGCATTTCTGGCTGTTGTAAGGCCGGAGAAGGATAAAGCTCTAGTATCACCTCTCAAATGTCTCCAACTTGGGGAAACATTCCGAGACTCTGTCTATTTCTTTGAAGGCACTACGCATTTCTAGCTCATCTGTCAGGTTTTAAGTCATGACCCTCTGCAGTCTTTTAGGCTCAGGTAAAAGTAAAGGTTCCCCTTGACATTGAGTCCTGTCGTGTCCGACTCTAGGGCGCGGTGCTCATCCCCGTCTCCAAGCCGTAGAGCCGGCGTTTGTCCGAAGAACATTTCCATGGTCACGTGGCCAGTGCGACTAGACACGGAATGCCGTGACCTTCCCACCAAGGTGGTACCTATTTATCTACTCGTATTTACATGCTTTTGAACGGCTAGGTTGGCAAGAGCTGGGACAAGTGATGGGAGCTCACTCTGTTGCGTGGATTCGATCTTACGACGGCTGGTCTTCCGACCTTGCAGCTCAGAGGCTTCTGAGGTTTAACCCGCAGCGCCACCCACATCCCTTTTAGGCTCAGAGCTTTTACTAAATTCCTGCTGGCCGACATTCAAGCTGAAAAATCTGCACTGTCACAGACCCCAAATTTGTGTTGTTGTTAAGCGCTGTCAAGTCCACCTTCGACTTATGGGAAACCTATGAATCAGTGATCCCCAAAAGGCCCCATCCTCAACCGCCCTGCAGACTCAAGCTTGTGGCTTCCTTTAGGGAGTCGTTCCATCTCGTATTGGGTGTTCCTCTTCTCCTGCTGCCTTCCACCTTCCCCAGAATGATAGTCTTTTCCAGAGAATCTGGTCTTCTCATGAAGTGCCCAAAGTAAGACAGCCTAAGTTTCAACATATTTGCCTCCAGAAAGATTTGATCCAGGACCCACTTGTTCATCTTTCTGGCCATCCGGCATCTCCACAAAGCTCTCCTTCAGCACCACGTTTCAAATAAATCCATTTTTCTCCTGTCCTCTTTCTTCCCTGTCCAGCTTTCGCACCCCCACGTGATGATCAGAAAGATAATAGTGTGGATGGTCTTCGTCTCGGTCTCCAGGGTCACATCCTTACACCTGATGATCTTTTCTAGTTCCTTCACGGCTGCCCTTCCGACTCTCCATCTTCGCCTGATCTCTTGGCTTCCGTCTCCATTAGGGTTGATGACTGAATGAAGCTACACAAAATCTCCTATTTCAATTTCTTCATTGTACTCTCTCTCTCTCTCTCTTGTTTTTTTTTCACTACAACTTCCAAAATCCCCCAGCCAGGCTGGCTTCGAGGCAACTGGGAATCATAGCCAATATGTTTTCAAGCGCTACCGAGCCTCCACTTGGCACAAAAAAATAAAATAAAAAAATCAGAGGGAAGAAACCGCCGTCCCCCCAGCCCCCCAACAAAAGGTGGCCATCTGCCAAAGGCCCTTGCCAGGGAGTCCCCACAAATGCACCCCTCTACCCACAAGGGTGGGCGCGTGGGAGGAGGAAGTGGGGCCTTCTGCCACTTCTCTCTCTCCCCCCCCAACCCAGTCCTCCCACCAGCCCTGCAGGCACGCCAGCCATCTGGCGGATGGCGTCATTATCCCCCTCCAGCCTCCTCTCACCAGACGACTGTTTGCAAATATCAGCTCAGAGAGGCACCCCCTTTTCCTAGCAATGGAGGGACACAGCACCACCACCCTGGAAAACCCCCCACATACAACACATACACACACATTGCAGGATCGTCTCCTTCCTTCTTGGCCAGGATCAGACCCAAAGGGGATCCTGTGTCGCCTCTGCAGCCACCGCCACTGCCCAGAAGCCTTTCAGAAGCTTCTGTATACAGAGAGAGAGAGAGAGAATCATGGAGCCATTTAGCCCAAGAATCAGGTAGACTTCTTTAAGAAAAGCAGGCTCCACCTGCTTGTCAAAAGCATCACAAGGGAAACTTTAGCTCCAGACAACTTGATCAGGGAGTCTGGGAGACCCAGTGAGCGGGGATTATAAGGTTTGTAGTTAGGTTTGGGGGCAAGTTTTCCAAAATATGGAGCAAGCAATAGGGATGAACGGACCCCATTGTCCACCCTCAAGGCTGAGAAGTCGTCCACTTCCCCCAAAGCATCTTAACTGCTGGATGAAAGAAGAGTTACTTAAGCACCGCCCAGAAAGGCTTTGCAACTACAGATCCCAGAATCCTCAATCCAGAGAAAGAGAGAAAGAGAGAGGGTGAGCTTCTCCAGGCTGTGCACCTAACATGAACCTGAACAAGTGACGGACCGATGCAGACCCTTCCCCATGGTGCCTATGCTTAGCAAAATAAAATAACAATTGAAAAAATAAAAGAATGAACTAAAAGAATGGCCTGCAAAACAGGTTGCCTCTGGGAAGGTCTAAAGCACCTGGAGACTCCTTAAGGAGCAGATGGACCCTTGCGTTTCAACTTGCAGCAACCTGCCCCACCGCCTGCTCGCCTGCTCGCCCGCCCACCCCACCGCCTGCTGCTTAAACTGCCTTCCCAGCCAAAAGTTCGGGGCTGGCTGCATGGCCCGGCCAGCTTGAGATACAGATTGTGAAAGCACTTTAAGGCCTGGCCTTTGTTCCCAACTCTTTCCCGCTAGAGGCCAGCTGAAATGTCAGCCAGGGGACTTGACCCCTTCTCTCTCCCATGGGGCCAGCCCTAACATGAAGCAGAGAAAGCTAAACGCCTCCGGTGACCGATTCGGGGGGAGACCACCCCCCAGGAAGTGCTGCCGGCTCCGATTTCAGCAGGGGTGGTGAGTCCACTCCTGGTTTTAGACTGAACTTCACGGGCACTCTCCAAGGGGGCTGAACCTGAGGGTGAGGGGGATACGGGGCCCAGACCCTTGGATCGCTCCTTTAAAGTTTGGGCTAAAATCCGGATCCATCCCCACACTCAAAATCAGAGTCACCAGCTTTCACGAGTGCCAACCACAGAAGAGAAGGGACTTTTTAAATTACCCTGAATGAACAGTTGGTGCCAA